TAGTGTAAAAATTATAAGGAATTTGAGCAGCTAGGTTCACGCTTTGCGATGCGTCAATGTTGCTGATAGCGATCACTTCAAAAAAAATCTTTTTTCCCCTCATAATATTTATATATATATATCTATATATATATATCTATATATATATATATGCGCAGTTCGTAATATTTATGGAACTATCTTGACTTAGAGAGGAACATTAGAGAGAGAGAGCGTTCCGAGCTTTGAGAATATGTTAAGATTATAGGGATATTGTATTAGTGGACAGTAAACGGTGTTTTTTGCCCTAAAGGTACTTCTGTTTGGAATCCTTAACTAGAGAAAAATTTTCTTTATTAATGAACCTCAAAAATACTCTCATTTGACTTCATTACCCTTTGCTAATGGTCTACTTTTTTTCAATACGAATGAATTGATCGTCAGATAATTTGGTTATCAACTGAACTGACAATGTGAATTGCTCGTCGTAAAGTCTGCAGTCAAAGAGACTACCAAGCTGACGTTCCGAGTGCGATCCCTTCTCCCTTAGGTACGCGAGAAGTAATGAAAAAGTTTTGAAGGGTAGAAAATTTCCTCGCGAGAGCGTCCCTTTTTATTTCTAGTTCCGAATTATTACATTCCCATATTTAAATGACCCCCAGTGTGTTTACTTTCTGCAGCGCACCAATGACCTTTGTTTCATGACAGCTACCATCAATACCCTATATTTGTTATGCAACACCTCACATATGCAAATTATGGCTGAACGAGAAATACGGCTTAGCTTATTTAATTAAATTCAAACCATGTTCATAGGCTCTCAAACCACAACTAGCCTGGCGTAAAATTCGACATGTGTCATGGCGTACTTTATGTAGTTGATACTTGTGATTTTAGTGTAAAAATTATAAGGAATTTGAGCAGCTAGGTTCACGCTTTGCGATGCGTAAATGTTGCTGATAGCGATCACTTCAAAAAAAAATTGTTTTCACCCGTTCGGAAAACGCGTTCTGAATATTTGGAAACACGGCATCGTTCACGCGTTCAAAGTTGTCTCTTTGTTTTCGAGTCGGCGAATTGGAGTATTCGTTCCATAAGAATCGAACTCCTTCTTATAACAAATTAGATTTGGAACGTCGCAAGCGCGTTGCAAAATCATATAGCCGCTTATCCCAACGAAAATGAGGTACAAATAATTCAGAAAATGAACTGAGCTGAAGTCCAGAAAATGAGTTATCCTGCAACATGCCGCAAAATTTATTTTACGGTGTAAACACACGAATGAACCACCCCTACTCACAAGCTTTCAAGGCTCCCCACTCTTCGAATGTCACACGCTTATCCTCAAACTCCTTTCCAGCCGCTTTGAAAACCAATCGTGCTGGTTCTCCTCTTCCTCTGATGTCAAAATAGGTGAGTTTATAGCTCGGCATCTTGGTGCGTGAGGCAGACAGTTTTAACTCAAATTTGCAAATGAGTAAAAATGACAGTTACTGCAAATGATCGAGCAGGTGTGGCGCGCATGTACTTCAAGAGATTGAAGTCACACAACTGAACATTTGCATGACAATAATTAAAAGAATAAGATTTGTGCTCTTTGTGCACCGCAGGTCATTATGCTTTGGAGGTTGCTAACACGCATGATTACCTCTCATTTTTGTGACTGATTTACAGCAGCAAATCAATTTAAAGGAGTAATGTAAAGGTTCAAATCAAGCAAGGCGAAATCTAAACATTTGTTATTGGTCTTGCGTCAACCATCGTGACAGTGTGAGGCATGTCTATGGAAAGACCTTTCTCGAATCACTTTAGTTGGTAATTTTAAAAATTGAAAGGAGAAATTATAAATCTTAACATCTATAGACGGAGGTAACGGTCTGATAAACCCTCGCAGAGACCTTTTTCCTAAAAGGCCTAGTAAATTGATTCGTTTATTCTCGTAAATAAAAATAAAGAATTTCCCTTGCTACAAGATTGTCATGATGAAGAATACACAAAGTAACACAAAGATCTGCTCATATCAGTGTTTCAGGTCGCGCCTCCAACCACTTTTTGGCATTTCGGATCTCCATGGTGCGTTTATGGTGAGACTCCGGCGGATGATATGCTTTTATTTCCTCTGGAACTTTGATCTTTCCCTGTACGAAAAGGTCAGTTCAGCATGTTGAAGACGGCAATGTCTGCGTACGTGAGCTGAAAATATACAGATGATACAAGTTGATGACAAATATAAATCAAGAAAATTTACGAACAAAGAAATAAACAATGAAAGAAAAAAACCAACAAGGAATAAATGGATTATGAGTGAATTAATGGATGAACAAATGAACGCGCGAGCGAGTGAGTGCGTGAGTGCGTGAGCGAGTGGGTGCGTGAGTGGGTGTGCGAAAGAGTTAGTGAGTGACTAAGCGAGTGGACAAGTGAGAGAGTGAGTGAATGAGTGAGTGATTGACTGACTGGTAAAGACTATGAAAGACTATGAGTGAGCGTGATTGCGTGAGCAGGTGGGTGCGTGAGTGGGTGGGTGCGTGAGTGGGTGAGCGAGAGAGTTAGTGAGTGAATGAGTGAGTGACTGGGAGTCTGGGAGAGCGAATGAATGACTGAGTGGGTGGATGATATATTTTAATGAACTTTAGAGTAATCATTTCTACTTTCAGCCAAAGCAGACATGATTTTTCACGATTCAAAAGTGAAAACGATGATGATAATGAGCAGTCCAACGGGCTGGAGTAAAACAGAAAAAAAAATAAAGGAGGAAGGATGAAAGGGAAAGAATGGGCGGGAGTGAAAGAAAGGAAGAGGAAGGTTAAAACTTGCTTCTTATCAGGAGAGACACCTTTACCAAATATGATCATGATTATTTGTTTTTGGCTGTGCATTAGCCTTGAAATCAAAAAGAGTAGTAAACTTTCCTGGAGTATTTAATCAGACAGACTCTCTCATTACTTTCTCTTGAAACTTACCTCAGACATTGGCCACACATCTTATCTGCAATAGATAAAGGGCTGGGAAAGACTGATCTCTATCAAATTCAAGCACTGGCAGTCGACCAAAAGTGAATTTCCCGGCTTTAAGGAACGCAACGAAAATTATCCTTAAAAGGGAACAGCTATCAAAACATATGGTACATTTGGGCATTAATTAGTCTCCCTCGCACCCGTTTTAGGGGAAGGAGCGTTGCGTGATGAGTCTAAGAACCGCAGTGAAGGAGACTGGGCATTAATAGGAGCTTTTAGTAATAAAACTGTAAGCAGTATATTACAGCGACCATACTGTCATGTTGCTCCACACTGAAATCTATCTTTAAAAAGGCCTGCGCTTTGTAAAGATACGAAAGAGGTTTTTAAGTAGCCAATAAAAAAGTTGTTTAGGATGTTTTCAATCGAAACGGGCTCTCGTTAGTATTATTACCGTACTTACTTCTCATTCCCATTTTCTTAATTTCTCGGCCTTCGCCGTTGTGACCACCTTAGATCGTAAAAGACACTCAGTCAAAAAGCTCTCTATTCATAACATAATAATTATAAAGATCAACAGAATCAAAATTGGCAACCAAGTACAGTTGACGGTAAAAACAATTCATTACCTTTGTTATTTATTTTTTTTATCTGAATTTTTCGGCTGTTAGTTCGTTACTTTGGAAACAATACAATTTTTTTCTCATTGTTTTTCTATTATTTCAGCAATTTTGTTTGTGCTTATTTCGTTTCCTTTGTTGGTTTGCCATTTTTTTTTTAATTCGATTTGTCATTTTTTTGCGTTTTGAGGGAGGGCTGGCTGCTCGCTTTTGTCGGAAGCTACATGATATAGATGTACAAAAAGAGTCACATTTGTGAAGCTAACAATCTTTATGCAAATTTGGGCTTAAACAGCTGAAGCAGACCGTAAATTTATTTACGAAATTTTAAAAGCATTATTTTTCAGCCCCTGAACTTGGTATCACAGAAGTCAAAATTCGAGATATTTTATACCGCACCTAATACCAGCCTTTTTCCTGTTAAAAAATTTGCGCAGTTTGAGTAGACAAGGTTTAAAGTTTTGCGACATGATTTAAAAAGCTGTAAGCGAAATCTTTAATTAACGATAGAACACCGTGGCCATCAGAGATACAAAAAGGGGAATGAAGGCGTTGAGAGGTTCAAAGATTAATAATCCCTTAAACGTGTAAGCTGAAATTCAAATCATGACTTCGTCTAAAGAAACAAATGACCCTTCATCTTAACGCAAATTTTGAAATGCAAACAAATGATTGAATCGGTCTGTCAAACTCAAAAGCTTTCAGTGCTCCCCAGCTTTCAAAAGACACCCGGTTATCTTCAAACTCTACCCAAATGCTCTAAAAATCATTCGTGTTGCCTCTGCCCTCCCTCGGATGCCGAACTAGGTGAGTTTATACCGTGGCATAACTATTTTTTTTTTTTTTTGAGCGAGCGGATAAGAATTGTAAATAACGATGACAGAACAGGCGCAAATGAAAAGCTCGTTTTGCACGCATACACACTAAACTTATGCAACTCTAAATTTGTACGATACTATTGAATGGAGGGAAACTTTGCGTCGCAAGCACACTGCTTAACGTTTTCAAATAGTTTGGAAAGATGTGATGATTGCTCATAACCCGTAGCGGATCTAGGGGAGGGGTCCGGGGGACTCTTTATACTCCTGGGTGAAGAGAGGCAAGAATACAGTTGACACAATAACCCAGCCGGGTCTCGAACCCAGACCTCTGGGCCCAAGGTCCAGCGCACTGACCGCTTTTCCCGCCACGTGTTCACATTTGTTTCAAATTAAAGGTGATTCTGTATTCATGAAAATAATAATATACTTACAAAAAGCAGTCTTTCTTATATCTACTGGTATGTATTTTATTGGAATTCGGAAAACTTCTAGTATAATAACATAAATTTCTCTTGAGATTGGCTAGTAAACATACTATTCAAGCCATGTGCATAGCGGTCATTCTTGAAAGTTCCCTGTTCATGATTAGCTACTCTTTCTTCTTGCTGTCAATACACTTTCTATATTTGCATCCTTTTTAAAGGATGATCTGTAAAAATCATGTTGAGAAGTTACATGTTCTCTTCTTCTAAGCTAGTAAGCTTATAAAGACCTCCCTTCACAACATAGTGTCTGGCCTGGTTTCAAGCCTTTTCTTCACAGCTGGGATATCTCGTACACGCTCATAGAGGCCTCGTAACAAGGGAAAATTCTCTAATTCAGCTGGGTATCCTTTAATCTTGTCCTTAGCAACCCAGCTGTTCAGAAAGTTAAAAAATGATATGTCTGCATAGGTTAGCTGAAGGATAAAAAAAACAGAATCACATTTAGAAAACTGCAAATTAAAAAACTGAATATTTCAACATCATTCTTAAACCACTGTGTGACAGAAAGAAAATTCAGTATAGAAGAAGACACCCAAACAGAATTTTTAGGGAATACTACTCTGCGTTGTTTCAATAAAAGACTTTAAAACATTCAGTAAAAACTCTTTTTTGGAACACTTTTATTTAAGGAACAGCCTGCTCAAAAAACACAACCTTTTCAAACATTTGTTCCTTTTACCTTCACATCTGTTACCCTTCAATAACAAACAGCAATTATGAAAATATCACTTAAGAGAGACTACTGGCAGCTCTATTCCAATGCAACTATAAGAGAAGTTAACTAAACCTTCAAGTACCTTTTTCCCAACAAAAAAACCTTGCCCTCCTTCATTTGCTTCAAGTAACCTTTGAAAACTCTTCAGAGCAGATGGTAGGTGAGACTCTAGAAAGTCCTTTGAGAGTTTTTCCTGCATGATGGTATTAAAAGTTATGTAGTAAAAATAAATTGATGTTTTTTTAACGCCTGCCTGGTAATTCTCTTGTTTCCACTATTTATTTGCCACGGCTTAGTTGGCACACTTTCTAGTTGTGACAAAATGCTACATGTAGTGGCAGAGGTATTTCATGAAGTAATAGCCAAAAATTCTCCATATCTTAATAAAAAAATTTAGGTCATCCAAATTTAACAAGTGAATTCTTTATATTTGTCACTGAAATCTCCAGTCTCCATTGCTTAATTAATGAAAACTCCCTTTTAGGGCTTTTTTTTGTGTAGAGAGAGAGGAATGGGATTTTCAAAAATAATTGAACAGTGGGAGCAGGGGAACATGATCCAATATCAAACATTGCAAGCTTTCAGATTTCTAGAATTTTACTCCTCTATGTGATGGTTGAGTCTGGACAATTTTCTGTTAAAGAGGCATGGGAATGGAGTTTTTTCATTAGCATTTACTGCTATTTTGTTTCATGAAAAAAGAAGAAAGCACAAGGTTTCTAGCTTTCCTATCTATTATCAAGGGTCATCAGCCCTTTCAAATGTGTCATGAACTAACCTTGAGTGATGGATCCCTTTCAAAGTGTACATCTCTCTTCTTAGCCCTGATATCCATCACTGCATCCACAATTGCGTCAGCCTTTGCTTTGCCCAAGTTACTATCGGGTGCAAGTCCTGTAATGGTTAATTTATCCAGGGGTTTCAAAAAAAGCTGGTGACCACCAGAGTCTGCTGGCTATTTCATAACATGTTGCTCTCACTAGTCAAAATAATTACCTTTTGGCCCTTAGTGAAATTCTCACAGTCGCCTACTTCTGCAGAGTCTAACGCCTACTTCATGATATATTGGAGGTCTTATTTACCAGCTCAGGTTAAGTTATTGTTACCAGCACAATGCTCTTTTTGCTAACATTATTATCCTTTTTCTCCTTTGTATGATTATCACTGATTAACATCCTAAAATTCTCCTCAAATCAATTTTTGCACCCTAACATTGATATGCATATTCTCCATGCTGTTCTTTCTAGATTTCCTAAGGTGCTGACAAGGAGAATTTGTTTAACAATCAAGAGCTTCTTTAGTTGGTGATCATTTCCTCTATTCTCATGACTTAACTGTTTGATTCAAGGGTGATATTGTAGAGAGAAATAAGATGCTGATCACTCTTAGAGGTCAAAGAGTTAATACTGTGCAAATGATAGTCTGTGCTTCTGCTTGTTTAAACTGGGCAAAAGTTCTGTTCTTAATAAAATGCCTTGTTTTGGGGGAGTTTTCCTTATTCAAATGTGTCTGAAATGTGGGACAAGGAGACTTAGGCTTATTGCATGAGGTATGTAGACTATGAATTGTGGCAGTGCAGACTGTTACTCATTTTTAAATGCAATAATCTTATAAATAAAATCTCACATTAAGATATTGGAGAGATCTCCGAAAATCATTATTTGAGTTGTCAAGCACAAGTATGGAAACTGAAATTTTGAATTGCAGTTTTGTGGTTTGACTTACAGTCCAGATCACCCTTGCTTTATGTAATGACATAGTGACATTTAATAATAACAATAAAGAACTTTATATAAGTGTCAGAGTAATTTAGCCATATATTAGGTAATTGTGGACACTAAAAGAACATTCCAAATACAAAATTAAAACAGGGATACTACAAGTGTTAAAATATATTCTAAAATTTGTAATCATTTTGAAAACAAGGAAGCTCTATAATAAAAATCTGAAAAAAATATACACTATTTATTAATTTAATATTGGCTAATCAAAAGAAATCTGCTGTACATTTGTAACTCACCAAACTCGTTTGCAAGATATCGTAAGATGGCCACAGACTGGCTAAGAACAATTGGTTCTGATTTGGCATCCTCCTTTATTTCCAGTATTGGCACCTGATTAAAGGGGCACTTCCCAGCTAAATGAACAAGCAGCCAGACAAATGAACAACATTATTCTTGAAAGTCATTGCAAGAAAATGTTCAAACGAGGATAAATAACTATGCATAAAAAAATATACACGGCAATCATTCGGAAAATTTAGATCGGTAAAACGATTGACGGTCTGTATCGTTTTATTGATGGGACTAGGCATGCTAAATCATTCATGGATCAAAACTCTGTAACTCGGCCCCGACGCCAAATTATATAGACCTTGACGTGTTTTGATTCGATACAATTTCTTCAAAAACATCATTTATTAACATCATTTGCTGTTAACGCACTCGTATATAATGAACTGAATTACGTCTAACTTGTAAATTTTACTTGACGATCGATGTACTCGCAGTCTTACACTAATGCACAACAATCGTGCTCTGTTCATGTACAGCGCCTGAATGATCATTTCTGTTTCATTTTCATTCACACGTCTACTTACTCGCTTTGAAGGCAGGCCAGTCCTTTTCAAAATCGACACAGAAGTCCTCGAATTCGACTCCAGCGATGAGAAAAGCTAGCCGAATGAATTCTCCGCGGCCTCGTGCGCGAAAATAGTAGAGTTTGTAAGATTTTTGAGACATGATAATTATTTCGCGACTTTCAATACTCGTGCAGTTAATGAGACCACTAGTTGAGTCACGTGTCAAGAACCGGGATAAGGGTTGACAAAAGATGCGCATGGGCCAGGAGCGGGGAGTGGGGAGGGCCGGAAAAGGCTTATATAATTATTCTCTGCATGTAGGAGTTTAAAGAAATTGGCTGATTTCCGATGAGGTTTTTAGTAGCGTTTTAAAAATTTCTATTTTTTTTTTCATTTTTCCTCTTTGTCTGTTAAAGAATGTTCGTTTTAGCCTAAGTTCTCACACGTGGTTACCTCTGCCTATTTTGTGGATCCTTCACTTTGCCAAGAAGCGTTCATCACTTTTAATTTTCAACTTTATTTCATTTTTAAACATAAAATAATTAAAGAGCTTTTTCTGCTCACAAATTCTCCAGTTTCCATCTTTTAGATCAAACTTAAGTTGTGAATAGAAAAAAAAAAAAAAAAGAAAAAAGAAACAGTGACAACGTTAACCAAAACTAAAATTCATATGGGTAACCCTGGATTCCCCATTGGAGAGAACATAGAGTATCATAAACTAAAAACAAGAACACACGAATAAATGCACAGAAAAACAAAACAAGGAGGAAAATTATGCACCGACTTTCCATGTGTTTTGAAACAAAACAGTTGGTAAAATTTCCTGTGAGATGAACACAATAAATGAGCTGATGGCTTGGAATGCCCTCAAGAGTTGTGCTTAATCAGGTCCAAAAAAACAATCAAAGACCAACAACAGTCAAATCTTTTGAGTCGCACTTTATTAACTATGATATTAGACTGGCTGACTAGAAATTAATTTTGTGACATTATCCCTTGTCTAATGCTGAAGGAAAATCATCCACAGGATAAGATAACGTCTTAATAGATGTAATCCACGAATCCATCTGTCGGATTCTTCAACTTCTCCAAAATCTTCGGCTGCGTTCGGACACGTTCGTACCAAGCCGACAAAGAGGGAAACTTTTTCAAACCCTCGGGAATTCCTTCAGCTTTTCCCTTCATGAAATAACTGTTTAAAAAGGTGAAGACCACGATATCGGCATAAGTCAACTGTAGAAAAACAACACGTTGATGTTAGTTATTGAAAACAACACCCACTCCATTATTGCCAGCAAGACCGCTGTCGATGATGACATTGTAGACGTCATCATTATCATGTATATCGTGTATATCGTCACTGCTTTTTACACCGCCTTAATTGGTCGCTCATTGTTTTTGTTTCTATCATTAATATCATTATTTGCATAAACGCTTCGCCATGAGCCTTTCTTGGCCTGCAGTTGAGTACGAAGCCTTGGGGCAACGCGGGCCGGCGAGAGGTCTGGTAAGGGGTGTAGGCATGTTAGTACCAGACCCCTCGCAAATCTCTACCTGACTCGTCTCAAGTCTTCTTGCAGGTAGAGAAACACGCATCCTGTAGCGTTAAAAATGAGGACCTACGCGCATTAAAGTAAACAATTAAAATTGCATCTGTTGATGTTATTTTCGTCATACTTGTGACCGTTGACTCGCCTAATACTGTGAGATGTTAAAAACAGGGTAGTTGCCGGGATAGTTTCTGATTAAAAATAATTGTGACAAATTTTTTTGGTATCTGGGGTGAGTCTAATGACTTGATTTGATGATCATTGTAGAACGTCAATGTTGCGAAATCGCGCCTCTTTTTGGCTAGGCAACTGGCAGGGTCTTATTATGTGCGATTCTGCATGAGCCATTCTTTCCGCGGGAAAAGTATGAAGTAGACCAGCGCAAGTGGGCGAGAGGTCTGTAAGGGTTGTAGGGCTGATTATCAGTGCCAAGTCTCCGGCAAACTTCTCACCGACTCGTGTCTCAAATCTTCTCGCGGGCGGCGAAACACGCATCCATATACGCTAATATATCGAAGGCCTGCTCTCAGGCCACACTTGTCGGCCTACCTTTTCACTAATGAAGAATCCATTTTTATTAGCTGACAAGATCTTTTCAAAGTAGCCACATTTATCTGGAATCACTTCTTCGGTGGCGGTCTTCATAGCTTTTTCCTGATTCATACATGAGGAAGAAAAAATTAGGTTTCGCAAACCACAAGTTAGTTTGTCTTCTAACCCTACCTCCCTGAAAGCTAAGATAAGTGAGACTTCAACGCTCGCTCGTTCGTTCGTCCCGGAAGTTAACATCGTGATCATCAAACCTTTCTTTCCGGGTCTTTCTCCCCATACGCCTCTGTTAGTGTGGTCTCTAATTCGTTGACCACGTGAGCCAAAGAATCTGCCTGAGCCTGCTGAAGATTGCCTTCTGGAGCAAGATCTGAAAGTTAAATGCAGTTCGCGTTTGCATAAACATTCGACAGGAAAGGGAAAATGTTTAGGGAAAATGTTTGATTACATTGAATAAAAACAAACAAAACGAAAAAAACGGGCAAGTAGCTGGAATGTTTTAGCAGGTTACTGGGTGAATGGACTGTAACATGGTAAGATCAAATCTATTTCTAAATGACATTTTCATTCATATCAAAGTGGTACAGAGAGGAATCCAAGTTTTTTCCTGAAGTTGAGTGGTTGGCGTACGTTTTCGTGAGAGTTTCATAGACAACATCTTTCAACTTATTATTCATCGCTAAACCGTAGCTTTTATGCAAGCGCTGTCGTTCTCTTGGTTCGTCACCCAGTCGTCACAAGAATTGGGGATAATTTCATTACGGAGCGGGAATGGGTTGGAATGTTCATTTAACAATCTTCTATTAAACGAGAGTTGATAAGTATGTTTATTAAAAATAAGAGATGATCGTGACTTACTGAATTCCTTAGCCAAATAGCTTAAAATAGCCTTGGATTGTGTGAGGACTGTGCCATCGACCTCGAGGATTGGTAGCTGTCCAGAGGGGCTTAATCCAGCTGACAAAATAACAAAAACAAAGAGACCTTTCATTACCTTTTGATTTGGGTCTCCTTACAACGAAACCCCACCTCCATTCCATTTCCCGTGGTACCTTTGAGACCTAGATTAACCAATCCTTCCTCCTCACCCCTCCCTCGGGAGCAGCACAAAGGCTCTCCTATCAGGCGATTCGTTTTGTTTGACAATTGAAATAATGGCAACTGGATTGATTGTTTCTAAATGACGTCCAAAACAAACAATTGATGACACAAAACTGCTGCGATTAAAAGTGTAATCATTCAAAAGCAATCTAACACTTAAATTTTTTTCGTAGTACAGCGATTGCGATCAAAGTCCTTTGGCGAGAAATACCCGTTCAGCAGTCAAAAACCATCTATTTCTCGGTTAAAGAGATTGTGAAAGCGTTGTTTGAGTAAAAGTGGCATTTCTTTTGTGACAGAAATTGACTGTAAATGTTTGTAAACGCGACCCAACTGGTTATGATTTGCACAAGTTGACAGATTTGACTACGTCAACATCTCCTGAGGTTATACATTAAGATATGAGATAATTCTCGAGCGAAGCACGCACGAATATTTTCTGCGCAGTCCATCCTACTGCTCATATCGTGTGACGAGGACGATAAACCTCGCACCAAACATTTTGTATCTTATATTCGCTGCATTTTTACATCGGCGTAGAGAACGCCACGTAACTCTTATCATACTCACAGTGTTTCAGCTTTGTAAACCACTCTTCCGGATTAACTAGGATGTCATCGAACTCAACTCCAGCCACCGCGAAAGTTATTCTGATGGCTTCGGCTCTTCCTCTAAGTGGAAAGTACGAAAGCTTATATTTCGGCATCGCCCTATTGAAGATACGGACAAAGACTGCAAGGGGTCTGAGTATATGACGTGTTTACTCTCGATGGAGACCGAGATGTGATGTGACCTTCGTGGGTCAACAGCGAAAGACAAAGCCAATTAGCATGGTTAACGTGACTCCAAAGAAATCTGTCAAGCTTGTTTCGACAGAAGTGGGTAGAGCGTGGGGTTAAGGTTGGAATTTGATATTTAGAGATTCTGACATTGTGAATAAACCCTTGTGAACATCTTGTGATATCCTTGCACAACATGCAGATTATTGTAATTTTCACTATGATCTTTATACCGGGATTATATGCATTTCCTAAATGCGTCCCTAAACAAAGCCTTTTTTAAATCTCCGTTATTTTCCTTCCTTTCCTCCGGGGGAAGGGGATTTTTTTAATTCCGAAAAATGCCGCCGTGGCCTTCAAATTCTAACCAACATAAATATGCATTTCGCTGCTTTTTGTAAGACAAAAAAATATTGATGATTAAGGCATACCGATGACTAAATACTTTAAGTGAACTTAAATCGAGCTTTAATGGGAAAAAGGGGGAAGTAGTGGGGGCTTGGAAAGTAATCTAGCAGTACAACCCTCTCTCTTCAAAGGAATCCTAGTCCACGTCAAGAGAATGATAGAATGATATTCTCTTGCCCTTGTTTTTCTTTTATGGAGGGTAGGTGAGGGGGAAAGGGCACAGTGAATCCTAAATGGTGCCTTTTGACCAGATAGAAAAAAAGCACCACACCCTACCCCCACTCCCTTGGTATTCCTCTCTTTGGAAAATTATAGGAGGTAAGCAACCTAGTAAGAGAACATCGTATTTTTACTTCTTTTGTTTTTGTTTCAAGAAAATTGCCACGCCATCTTAATCACTCGGCAAGAGAGGTTGTAAACAGTTCGTACACGGAGAGACTACAAAGTGATGTTGTGTTTTCAAATTTATTAACCCTATTTGTTTGACTATAAGTGCTGAATTAAAATTACAAAACTATGTTCTAGTTTATTGTGTTTTCCGGGTCTCCTTTTCGTTCCATAACTATGATTCAAGTATTGCATATCCAGTCACGTGTCCGTTCAGTATGGGTACTCGCCGAGATCTGGTCGCGGAGTCTTGAGCCATTGTTGAATCTTGGGTTGCGTTCTGACCAGTTCGTACCAGGCGTGTAGTTTGGGGAATGCCTTCAACTCCTCAGGGACTCCTTCAGCGCTTCCTTTCAGATAGTAGCTGTTCAGAAAGGTGAATACCACGATATCAGCATAGGTCAGCTGTGGGATATTGATTAGTGTCAGTAAATATGACTGCCACATGATTCTGTCATTTTATCTGAAAAGCCCATATCGGGAAACGGGCAATCAAGTGAGTACTACAATGTACTTACAAATTGCAATCCGTTGCGGCACCGCAGTGCTCTCCATTGTATTGCATTACTCTACAACATAACACTAAATTGTTTTGCACTGCATGGCAGTGGACAATGATATGTTACCTTATCTTCAAGAAAGAATCCCTCCTTGTCGTTGGCCGCCAAAAACTTCTCAAAATATCCGCATTTGTCTGGAATAACTTCTTTGCGAGCAGTTTCTAAGGCTTTCTCCTAGACAAGGGGAAATTATAGCATATTAAGTGCTACTGGAAACCAGAAATTCATTCAAATAAAATATGATCGATGGCGTTTTGTCTGGGAGTGAGTGATTTCACTAACCTTCACCGCTGAATCTTCGTGTCTATTAGCTGCGCTTAACACGTTTTCCAAGTCATTAATTATGTGAGCTAAGACGTCTGCCTGCGCCAGTTGAAAATTATCTTTTGGAGCGAGATCTGAAGGAAAATATGGTTTATGTGAATGAAGTTTATTTCTTTACTGCCCACTTTAATGGAGTATTGGTCAAGTCCTCTTGTCATGAAAATACTCCGTAAGCCGTTCAAAGAGCGCGAAGGAGCGCTTAATCTCACATTATTTCTCGTCTCGCAAAGCGGAGGTCCATTGGCGGGTCTGAGTATTCATTATCCTATTGATTTTTGGTTTAATTACAGTATCTCGTATCCCATTAATTCCTGTGGTTTAAATCCCGTAATCACTATTTAGTTAAATATCCTGTATCCCTATATCCCTATAATTTTTAATCAAAATCCCGTATAACGATAACCCCTGAGGTGCGTTTGGCCTTCCGAGAAAGAGCGTTGCGTGACGGAACCAAGTAACGGCTGCAGCGGTAACATTAATCAGGAGCGTATGGGCTCCTGCATCAATTCAATACTTACTGAGTTCTTTGCCGACGTAACTGAGAATGACTTTGGACTCCATAAGTACTTTACCATCAACGTACAGCACTGGTAGCTGACGGGAAGGGCTTATTCCAGCTTAAATGAATTAAGAATAAAATATACCAATTTTTGTCGTTAGTTATAAATAAACGCGCTAGTGGTCGTAGAAACAAAGGCACGCATTACTATTTATGATTGTTCAGAAATCTATTTCAGTCATCGTGGCTCGCATTGAGATGTGAAAGAGAACAGCGCTCAGATCCAGATTTGGACGATTCATTTGAACCTAAGAGTGACTTATTGAAAAACTTGAAGACGCAGTTTAATTTCCTTCGAGTCTTCCTTCAGACTCCTTGTTCGAAGTCTCACGTAAAGGCCCATAACTTGCAAGAAAAGTCCGACATACGCGAGGTCTTAGCAGAAATGTAGATTTGGCCGAAATCTCAGACAAAATACGAGATATACTACCTCATTTTACCTTGACTTATTTATGTCAGGAAAAAATCGGTGCTGGAGCACACCCGGAATTCGGGAGCTAGAGGCCTGTTCGTCAGTCTGTAAATAACCACAGTCACTTTCTTTAAGTGTGAGATTGGGTTGCAAATTAAAATTATACTTGTATCAGCCAAGTGGCAGCAATCCTGTTAGGGCATTCAAGTTATTAGATCGAGGCGAATCTTAGGAGAAGCATAAAACCGAAAAAGAAGTCTGCATGGTAAAAACTGGAAGAATATCATAGGCAAACTATGTACTTAGGTTCTCTTGTCTGAATTACAAGAAAATTTTGAAGCAATGATTTCTCCAACCAAATAACAAAATTTATGTACAGAGCACCGTCATCGAGGGTGTGGCGCAGAGAAGGGTGAAACAAAGCGGAACAAACGAAATATGCTTTCACAATGAATATGAAAGCGATCTTTGCAGTAAAGATTTCGCAATAACCTGTGGTCTGAAGATTTATCAACATCTATCGTGTATGTTTACAGAAGAAACAGAAAGAACAACACTCGACACACCCATACAAACTGTAATCTTTCAAGTCAGGCGTCCGTGGTTTGAATATTCTAGGCAACTCAGCTAAAAATTTGACGAATTAATTATTAAAGTTAACAGAGGGTAAAGACTGAACACGAATTGAGGCTGCGGCGAGATCTGCACCGTCACGGTTCAATGCGCTCCTTTGAACGTGGCTGCGAAGAGATATAATGGCTTGTTTGATTTCGGTAAAGGAACTTGATCAGCTAGGAAATTGTGGAACAAATGTTCATTTAGCGTTGATGAAAAGGTTGTCAGCAGGATATCCCTGCACAAAGCTTCTTTAATACAGCTGTCTCGGGGGTATCCAAGCTTTTCAAATACGCAATACTCAAATGACTACTCACAATTCTTGTATTTTGAAATCCAGTCGTCCATTGTATAACGTACGTCCTCGAAATCAACTCCAGCGGCGGCGAAAACCATTCTGATGGCTTCCGCTTTTGCGCGAAGTGGAAAGTAAATCAACTTGTACGAAGGCATTGTTTGCAGAAGCTGCAGGTAGCAAGCGAAACAAGAGCGTTTTGGGCGAGAAGCGCGTGGCGTCCGGAGACTTGTGATTTACGGAAGATATCTTTAGATAGTATCCGATTTCTGAGCTCTTACTTGGTGTAGAAGACACAATTACGTCACAATAGAATTTAATTACAACTGGGAATATGAAACAATGAAAACAATAGTGTGGCGTATATTGTGTCTCTTTCACCAAGTAAGAGCCGATTTCTGTAGGGGAGGAGGCGGGGTGGGGTGGGGAAGAGTATGTGTCGGAAAACACGATAGGTGTTTGGAAGTTTATTGTGTCTATTACTCAATCGGAATCTCCTCTTAACTCGTTCCCAGACTTCTTAAAATCGAAAGGAAAAATGCTTGATAACTGACACTTTTATTGCAGCAAAGCTACTGGAATTGGAAATTCCGTCCGTCTATCGTCATGATCAATTTAGAGGAGATACTTACTCTTTAATTGCTTTCTAAATTCTGTTTTATTCATCGATCAACAACAGTTGGTGATCATTTGCTTAATTCTTGTTTCGTTAATGTGTGGTTTAGGGGTGATATTGTAAGGAGAAATCAGATTTTAGTTACTCTTAGGGGTTAAAGGGTTAATGATTGTATCCTCGGCTGATTGGTCTTTACAATGCTGTTTCAGGGCGTTTCTCGATCCACTCCTTAATCTTAGGTTCATCTCTGACTTTCTTGTACAGAGTAGTAAGGCGAGGGCAATCTTTCAGCACGTCTGGAGGATCCAGTTGGCCTTTAGCAATGTATGAGTTGTAGAACGAGAAGAAGCAGATGTCCGCAAAACTCAGCTGAAACAAAAAATGATTAAATGATTATTATGTATGAAGCCACTGAATAACTATATATATGGAACGAAGAATTCAGAACAAGTTCATAAAGTCTGCCTATAGCGATAGCGGACTAGTCAGGGGAGGGTGGGGGTCACTGGAGCCTTAGTGAGGGGATCAGGTAAATTTTGTTGTGGCAAAACCAAAATCCTCCGACCCCTCTCCCCCAGGTGTTGAATGATATCAGGTCCTAAGGATAAAAATGGTCTCGGAACAAGGTAGACAGTCGTCAAGGTTGCGACCTCTTGAGAGCAGAACCACTTGCCTTATTTCCAACACAGTAGACTTCATCTTTAGAGTTCTTTTCCAAGATCTTTTCGAAGTACTTAGTTTTCCTGGGTAAGGACTCCTTATTAAACTTTTCCATCAGAACTTTCTGTGGATTTTAAAGAAACGAAGAAATTAAAGAATTATTGCAAAGAAGCGATTCGATTGGATATTCTTCAAAACTGAAATTCGAAAACGAAACCTACAATAACATCAATAATGATATTAAGGAAACGATGCAGAAGCAATTTATTTATTGCATTGTTGTAGCTAAAAAAGAGAATTACTTTCAAAGTCACAAATTAACTTTATTAACTTTATTTAATTTCGAAGGGCTGTATACTTTGGAATTTGGTAAAACGATAGAATTTTCGGCTTCTTTCAAAGAATTCTTTCTTTCAGACGTTTACAGTCACTGCGGTACACACGTTGAATAAAAAAACTGCCCTTGCCATCCCTCCTTCTATATTTTCCTCCTTAGAAGCCCTCTGACTCTCTTGATAAGACAACGAGCAACCTATCTTTCTTAGCCCAGTCCGTTACACGAGTCACAGGAAAACAGCGCAAAAAAAATAATAAATAAATAAAAAAATAAAATAACTGACCGCCTTGCAAACCATGCTCTTTCCTCCCAGAGATCTTAGCGCGCAGTTCATCTTTTCGTTTCTCTTTCTCTCTCCACTTTTTTTTGCTCTTTTTCTCTTATTTCTTTTGATTCGCTATATTGATTCATTTGGAGAATAGGAATTTAAGAGTAGATTTGGTAGATTTGTACAATACCTGTTGGGCCGGGTCAGCATGGACAATGGCACGAACGATCTCGTTCTCTAAATCATACACTCCTTCAGCAAACATGTCTGCTTTGGCTTGCTGCAGATCATTACTGGGCATCAAACCTGTAAGGAACAAAAATGGACCTCTAGTTACTTAGAATTATTTCTTAGCCGTGAAATTCACTTTTCGAGAAAAGTTAGGTTACAGATTAGAGAGTAAGCGAGTCTGGAGCGCAGTCCATTCTACATTGAAATAAATTTGAACACAGAAAAAAATTCTCATATAAAGCCGGAAAACAAATACCACTGAAGTTTCCTTCCCACACATCACAGCGATATGAAATACAAAAAAAGTAAGCTACTCAAAATCACAACAAAAACAACAAAAAACAAGTAGAAAACAAAAAACTTTGACGTCAAGCGTTTTCGAAAAGCATATGTTCTACGTGTTACCGTCGTTACTAAAACAAACTCTTGTTTTTTTTGTTTGTTTTTTTTTTTTTCTAATTTCTATGGCGCTTTTCATAACTCCGTTTTCGGTGGGTAGTTTATGCGTAAATTTGACGTAAATGTAGGATCAGAAAATACGTTGCGTTTTCAAATTCATCTGGCCTTATATGGACGGGGTCTGGTAATATCCTGTGTGTAGGTGCAATACCAGTCTCTTACGTTGGCGTTCATATGGATGTCACGCAACGCTCCTTCCAAGAGAGGGCGTATAGCGTGACATCCCAAGGAACGGCTGCGAAAGAGATCACTAAAATACTTACCATGTCGTTTGGCTACAAACCGAAGGATAGCCATGGACTCGCAAAGGGTCACTCCCTCGACTTCAAGGATAGGTACCAGTCCAAAAGGGCACTTTCCACCTGTAGAGAAAACAGCGCTCTTAATATTGTTCAAAAACACATTTATCTTATACCTCATGATACTCGATGTGATCGATGTTCTAAGATTAGAACTTACTGTGTTTCAATGCCAACCACTCTTCGCTTTTAAGATCAAACGGGATACGAACATCTTCATAATCCACCCCGGCGTATGCCAAAACAAGTCTTGTAGGCTCTCCCCTGGCTCGGAGATTGTAGTAGGTGAACTTGTATTTAGACGCCATTTTCGCGATGAACGTACAAGTGTTTACTCAAACCAAATGAGCGACAAAATGAATTAAATACTTGGCTGATTCTCTTATTTATATGCTGATCTAAAGCATATCGAGGTCACGTGCTATGAATATATGTTGACTTTTCGTAACCATTCGATCAGTAATTTCAAACAAGGCTTTTACAAGTTATAATCAAAAGCAGGTGACCTTTACTTTTAGGTCGTGAAAAGAAGACTAGATTCATGCATCTCACTTACACCTGCGTGCTGAAAAATTTTCTTTGCTCGCTGACCCATGTTCTGCTTCAGGAGATCCATTGTCTTGCTTCAGACTAAGCATGACTCAGCAAGCTTTGACGCTTCAACGAAAATATTTGCATATGTAAGAAGAACCTAGTCATGAGCCAATATCCCGAGAGGTTTGTCATCATGATGGAGCTTTCTTCACTTTCTCGAAGTTAGTGATTAAGAATCAATATCTGGAAATTTATTTTACGGAGACTCCTCAAGGTTTTAGATCGCGCTAGATCTGGACGCTAACGTGGCGAGGGGTTTAAAAGTGTCAATAACCGAAAGAAACATGTCATGTTACGTTATGTTTTGGGAGTAAGTAATAGGAGATTTTTCAAATAAGATTTATCGCTTTTCCTTCGGTAATCTTTTTTTGAAAATTGGGTAAGTCCAAACCACATACAGTTCTTATCAATTAGCCTATTTTTTGTTAAAATCTGTCTGAGCTAATCGAATTTATTTAGAAAAATGAAAAATGAAAGAATATAGGTAAAACCGTATGAACGACCTTAAGTTTTTACCATTTCCAAAGGCAATATCATTTCCCAAGAGAAGAGAATATCAACTCAACATTTGATATTCTCTAGTATTTCCACAATGTGGCAGAGAATAGAGACATTTCGCTGAAGGAAAGTAAAGATCTTTAGGTATTTAAACCAAAAATCAAAATATATCTGCCCGTCACAATAGATGATGTTGCCATGGTAACATCTAAAAATTAACAGAAAAAGCCTTGCTATATCGTTAGCTGAACTGGTAAATCTCTTGAGATGTGTGGTTTGATTCCTAACAATTGCGACAAGAGAAACCTTTCTGCATTAAAAAGCTTTCTTTTCAGTCAAATAAAACATCCCAACGGGAGAAGGACGGGTAGGGGGTTGAGGGTAGGTTAAGGGTGCATTTTTTCATGCCTGCACAGGGAAACTAGGATATATCTCTTTATAATCAGACTTAATAGTTACTTTGATTAGGGTTACAGAGGTTAGCCTTAAGCACTTCAAGTCCATTTTCTCCCCTGTGGTGGCCAATTTGGCATAACAGGAATAGCTCATTATTTGAAAAAAAAAATAATAATAAAGAAAATAAAAAAAAAAAAAGAAAAAAAAAGGAATTGGAGAGGCTAAATTAAAGTGATGATATTAATAGTCTTTCTATCTCTGCATTCTTTATAATTTTTTCGAGTCTTTCAGTTCTGAAAAATGGAAAATTACAACAATTCGCTTGCTGTCTTCTCATATATTTTAAAATTAAATATTGTCATATCCAGACTGAATAGCATTTCAACCTTATTTAACCACCTGCTTATACATGATGTACACATTTGAAGCGATGTTCATTTTCTATTAACAACTCTTAAATATCTACAGTTTTTTACTTCATCTAAGGCTTCTGCTAGTGATTTACTCTCAATTTGGTCTCTCCTTTGTTGAACTGGACAGGATCTTTTGAAATCGTCTATCAGATTTTTCGCTTTCCTTGCCGTTTTCTCAGAATCTTCAAATTTTCGACGCAAAGCATGAGAGACCAGTGGAGTCGAAGATAACGTAGACCCATGGTCGTTACTCTTTCGTCGCGAGGAAAATTCCTCAAACACTGTGTCCTCAACTAAGGATATCGAAGACGTGAAGCTCACACTTTTAGAGACGGAAGGTCTTTCAGCTGAATCAGAATGTTTTTTAGACAGGATCGGCGAGGTTGGCGCACTGCGAGTTTTGATCAGCTCCATTGAAACTGGCCACGATGGCCATGGCATTCGTTTGCGTCGTAGAATTTCTGGAGTTCTCGGAGCAA